TTATCCGAGCATAGATTTACATGATAATATTCCATCAGTAAACCTCACTTAAGATGTAGGAAGAAGACCTTGCATGTAATGTCCCTATTCCATATCCCAGCCAGTATACAATCTGGCTACGTTATGGTGTTAGCGCAAGGGCAATATCTCACCAGAGGAGTTATATTTTGTAATGAATATGCATTTAATATGGTTATGGGGTATCACAGCATAGATATCTGGAACTAAATTGTATCTGTGAGCCTGTGCTTATAATTAGGAGAGCGCCCTAGCTTGGAGGGAGCAAAACTCGTACTTTATCCCCTCCCGTCATCCCCGTTGCCCGCCTTATCCCTCGCTCAGTCTGCTTCTTCTGCCACGGCCCACTCAGCTACCTTCCCTGCCACCTGTCATCAGGCTCCCACCCCTCTTACCCTCAGCAAGCTATATTATGCAGTTTTGTCAGTCCCAATTGCACGCTTGGAACCGTGCTCCCGCATGCGCTGGATCATCCGAGAAGAAGAATATTTTGCGAAGATTAAGCATTTAAATTGAAGAGGAGTTATCCGAGCATAGATTTACATGATAATATTCCATCAGTAGACCTCACTTAAGATTTAGGAAGAAGACCTTGCATGTAAGGTCCCTGTTGCATATACAAGCCAGTACACAATCTGGCTACGTTAGTGTGTTAGCGCATGGGCAATATCTCACCAGAGGAGTTATATTTTGTCATGAATATGCATCTAATATGGTTATGGGGTATCTCAGCATAAATTTCTGGAATTAAATTGTATCCGTTGACCTGTGCTTATAATTAGGAGAGCGCCCTAGCTTGGAGTGAGCAAAACTCCTACTTTATCCCCTCCCGTCCTCCCCGTTGCCTCCCTTGTCCCTCGCTCAGTCTGCTTCTTCTGCCAGCGCCCACTCAGCTACCTTCTCTGACACCTGTCATCAGTCTCCCACCCCTCACACCCTCAGCGAGCTATATTATGCAGTTGTTTTCAGTCCCTATTGCACGCATAAAACGGTGCTCGCGCATGCGCTCTATCATCCGAGAGGGATAATATTTTGCGAAGATTAAGCATTTTAAATAAAGAGGAGTTATCCGAGCATAGATTTACAAGATAATATTCCATCAGTTTCGCCATTCTCTCTTTCTATTCTCGCCCCAATATGTTTTGATCTTGATTTCTTGTGTTGTATGCTCTCTGTTGTCCTCTCTGTGTGCGTTTCGCTTCACTCTAAGTGTGTGGGTCTTGATGGCCTCGCTGCCATCTCTCTTCATCTTTCCTTCCATTAACGCTAACGCTTTGTCCTTCCCTATATCTCCTTCGCTTCCTCTCCCCTCTCCTCCTGGCTTTCCCCCGCCCCACGTTCTGATTGTATAGCTTTCTCTGCAGCGTCTTCGCTGCGCTGAGCAGACTAAACGAAGGAACCGCAAGCGTGCAGGCGCGAAGTTTTTACGAGTGCATGTAGCCATCGTACACTTCGCCCGGCAGGTGCACAGTTAGTCGGGCTTCAACCGCTCTCTCCTCAAAGCGCACTTCGCTTCGAGGTCGTAGTTGGTTACGACCTGATTGTACGCTTAGGCCGAAGAGGGGAGCGGGTGGGGACGAAGATGAAGACGTAGACGCAATGATAGGCATAGGGTGATCAACAGACGAGATGCCATCGAGATAGGATGTAACACTAAGTGGCTCAACTCCGTCGAGTGTAATTATGCATGTGCTTCGAACTTCCGATAGCAGCATTTTCCTTCGGCGCGATAAACTATTTGCATCACGCAGCGTAGTGTGACAGCTGAGTGAGTGCAATATAAAGTGGTGAAATGCTCTCCCCAGCTCGCGTCCCTAATTAGCGGGTCCCGTCACTCTCACGGTTGCAATGTGGTGTGCGACTGCCACACTAGTTACGTTCGCTGAATTGCAGTCGCTGGCAGTGTGATGAGATTTTTTCTATCGTAGGTGACCGCAGGCTGGCTATGCTGTGTCCTCATGTAAGTGCCATGGAGTGATGTGCGGGTATTGTGTTAGCTAGCTAGTAGCACTTTACTGGGCGAACATTAGGAATATATAATGGCATAAGTGTTTGCTGAAGCAGGGCGGATTAATATCGTTGCTTGCGATAGCTATATGTGTGTGAGCATTACTTACGATGTGTGGTGTGTCGATGGTTCGTAACGGAGAAATGTTTTTTAATCTTGCAGATCGTTGATTTCTTGAATGACCTTTACACGTGTTTTGATTCGATCATCGGCCCAATTGAGATGTGCGTGTTGTGTGTGTGTGTGCCTGCGTGTACAAAGATGGAAAACAATTGTGTTGAAGTGACTCAAGGTGGCTTGTGCCATGTTGGTGGTTAACTGTTGCGTGGATTGTGTCCG